CAACACAGAGCAGTTTTAGTTGTCATAGTAGAAAGAACTGTTGTATAAACTATTTAATACACAGAAACATATATATCTTATCTCTTACGAAGACCATAGTGCTTTCTTATTGCCTAAATAAATCTTTGATAAACAACTAACGTAACCAAAGTAAAGCTGATAACATTCATCAATAACATTTAAGTCATCAGCCAACATTATATGACTAGTTCTACAGGACTTTGGCAATGTGACATAATAAACTTGCTCTGGACTGATACTGATCCTAGCCAAATCTTTATTGTGGTTTATTGGTTTATAACGGTTCCAATTTATCTTACATAAACTGCTGCTACGTGACTTGATATGCAACACTGTTTTTCATACATGTGCCAAAAGACAAGGTTCATACCAGCGGACCAGCTAAACTTTGACTACTCTCCCAAACGTACAAACACACACATGCAGTCACACACGCAGTCACATGCACCACGCCCTGCTCGACAGAGCACAGTGACCTCACGAACGAAGGTCAAGCAGCAACGTTATTTACGTCAGGCCCAAATCAAAACCAGATGCTGCCCGCCTCCACTGTCATCCTCCCCCAGGAAAAAAACTCACCAGACTCACTAAATGGTTGGACCCCCACTGCAAGGGGGATTGCGCAAAGTAAAATGAACATGACTTACTCACATGTCAAATCTACGCAGGAGACTGAGACTGGGAGTAGTTTGTGAGTTTAGACAACCACACAGCAAGCAAACAGGGAGTTTCTGATGCTCCTCAATGTGGATGAGCTATTACAAGGTTTACTTTAAAAGGCTGCTTTTTTGTTGGCCTAAAATACCAGTAAGACAAGCTATCAGGACAACCACTGCCCCATCTCAACATCAAAGCATCTGGTTTACCATGTGATGTTTTAATCCCTTACAGGCTTCCCTGTCTGATACCAGGAGATCTTCTCTGTCACCTGTGGGCCATCACTTCATATTTGAAAGTTGCTCAACAACAACACTCTAATTGCTTGGCTTCAGTCTCTGTAGGAGATTATTGTCTCTGCAGTAAGTCTTGCTTAACAACAGGTAATTGCTCCCGTATTCACTCCGGCTGTATGACATTGTAATAAAAACCTGACCCCACCCAATAAAACTAAATATTGCCAAAAAATATCCTCTTCTTTCCTTATAGCACGTAGTACACTGATAGAATAATGGTGTGAACGTTCAGGCTCAGACAGTGGCTGTATGAATACAGTTTCTGGGAAGAAGCGGTTTTAATGCTGACCTGTTAGCTCCCAGTCTTTAAGACTCTCCCTGTCCCTCGTCACACTCCCCAGCACCTCTCGGGGCACCGGCTCCATGCGGGCATCCATCTTCTCGTGTTTGCTGTTGCTGGATGTCTCCATGGCGTTCTTGAAGAATCCGTTGATCTCCTGAAAGTTCATCCCCTGCAGGTCGAGGGTCAATTCGGCCTGCTCAGCAGGGCTCAGCTGGTTCCAGAAATGCAAAAGGTGAGACTGGTCGGCTTCAGCCAACCTCTGGGCGAGTCCGCTGGCGCTTGGGTCCATGATCACTGATGCTTTTGATTAACTCTGCCACACTGGAACACAAATGTAAAAAATGGGATGAGTTGTCACTGGTGAGCAGAGCTTTACCTACCACTGAGGATACCAAAGACATATATCTGGACATCAGGGAGGTTATAAAGACACAAAGAGGTACATTCGAATTCAAGGCTGATTCTAATATTTGTTAGACTAAATCTGACTGATAATATAAAAAAAGCTCTACACATTTAATCATAATGAAAGAAGCTTGGGATTTCCCCCCAGAGTTACATACCTGGCCATAATGTAGGGAGATACAATATCTGGCTAGTTAAAACCTTCGGAGGTGGGTGGAGTTGTTGTGAGGAAAACTGGACTCATGACTTCAGTATTCCTACAATCCTGGTTACTGCTGGTATAACTAGCATAACCGGTGACATAATACAACACCCAGCATGACATTTACATATTGTAGTGGGACTGCAGCCAGAGCCTTGTTTAAAATAACTGTTGGTATGTTATATTCTGTGTTTGTAGGACACCCACACCCACAATCAGGAGCTTGTTGGACCAGGAAATCATCACACCACTGCTGGAGGGGATCTTTCAGCACTTTAATGGGATGCTGAGGGTTACAGCACCTTACATTGGCTTAAAACTGATAGCTGATAGACATATTGTATAATTCTGTTATAAATATTCATAACACTTTCAAACTGTTTCAAGTCATCAGAGGGTTTCGAAGTTGAGTCTACTCTATTACCACAGTCGTGTTAAAGTAACTACTGTCTGTATTATCATGGTGTAATGATACTAAGTCTGTTATTTACAATAAGCTCGTTTGCTGTCCGGGATACGTTATCAATCACTGTGTTTAGCCCATTGACAGTATATATATATATACAGAAGTACATATATATATATATATATGTGTGTGTATATGTGTGTATAAATATAGTTTAGCCGCTGTCTCCAGCAGCACGAGAGTGACAGCGGCACCGGAGCAGAGCAGGTATGCTAGCAGCTACCCGGCTAACGGAGGAGGAAACGGTTAGCTCGGTGAAAACATAAAAGATAACATGAATGAAATATTAAAGTCTCACCTCTGACAAGCGCTCCTCTTTGGCTCAAGACCATTAATGCCAGTCGCTGTGGGGTTTCTTGTACTGGTCAGGGTCAGGACGCCTCCCACCCGGACTACACCTCCTGGTACGTCACGTTGACGTGGCACTAACGGCGGTGTGTGTGTGTGATGCATTCAAGTGCTGCTCGTAAATGTAAGTAATCCTGAAGTCAGACAGAAGTGTGGCCGTCCCAGTGACAGTATGTGGGCTGCTCAGATGCCGAGAAAACAATGGAAAGATTTAGAAAACGGTGGAAGTCAATGCAGTAGGGGAGAGTAACTAAGTACTATCTACTCAAGTATTGTACTTTCGGTTACTTTTCAGATTAAGATTTTATATTAAAAAAACATCTTATAAATGACAATGCATTGATTAATATTAAACCAGTGGTTTCCAGGCATTTTGGAAAAAAAGCTATGTTTAGTTGGGGCCTCTGTCACATTTCTGAGTTTACTCTATAAACTTCTCCGATGGTTTCATTTAAACAAATATTTAGTTGAAATAGAAAACACTTTCCAACATTTCACAAAATAGCAAAGATTAAAGGATAATCCAAAAAACAACATAATGACAGAGACTTTCCAGAGAGTCTCCTTTACCAACTTAAATGTACTACATGGAGTTTTAACAGGTTATGAAACAGTCTAAATGTAATACTGATGTATCTGTATCACCTACAGAAGCACATGAGACCATCAGTGAGGCTATTTCTATAGTTACTGTTAATGCCTGCTACTGGGGCGGATTCAGTCAGATTCCCCTTGAATTCAATAAAACAAGGTATAGGAAACACTACAAATGCCAGAATCAACATATATACATAGTGATAATTTCTTAATTTTGTTGTCAATAAACTAAAAGTTAATGTGGGAATGAAAAATATGATGGTCACTGTGAAACATTGTTCCTTTGTTTACCCACAGTTCAACTCTGTACAGTGATTCATATCTGTGGTTACACTGTAGATTTATGTTTATGGTATTTGATTTGGACAGCCAACAATCAACCAGTCAGAAACTAATTATTTCTAAGGCCATTATTTAAATGATTAATGTGTGATCTTTGAGTGTCAAACATAATTAAATCAAAATGTTCATTAGCTAGTAAAAGGATACTTAAACCCTCAAATGTACTCAGTTTACAAAGTGCATGAAACAAGGGAAATAAATAGTTAGAGACTTCAGTCATTGTTGTTTGTGGTCTGAACAAATTGTAAACTGATACTTCTCCCTCTTCTTTAAACAAACAGCCTTCAAAAGACTTGGTGGGTTAATCTGAGTGTGAGATTTGGAAATGTTAGAGAAGACCTCAGTGAAGATGGTGATGAATAATGATGGGCTTGGCAGCGACTAACATTCAGATGGGCCACGTGTGTTTTTGTAGAATGCAGCAGCTGATTATGTTTGTCTGTGAGCACGAGCAAGTACTGAACCTGCACTGGTGTAAACATCTTGACACTTGAGACATAAGCAGTAATTTTTATACTTAATTCTGAGCTCACTTAATGATTATCTAATGTGTGCCAGTGAATCCAAAGTCTGGTTATATTGTTCTGGAATAACATACCTCACATTGTGGAAATACTCAAGCAGACACAGACTGATATGAATAAGATGTGTAACTCCACTGCATGTGAATGAATTGCAACAAATAAGAAATATTTTTCAATATTTTGTAGATATCCCTTTTGGTAAAGAGGAAGGAAAAGCAATAATTAAAAAGGGAATAATGAGAAAAATGGCAAGAAAAATATGGTAGGGGGATAATAATATATTACAAATGACAGAAATCAATAAATGCACAGGGAGGAAGGACGAAGTAATTTTAACTAGATTAAGATTTGATTAAACTACACTTTTCTTTCTCAACAGTAAACAATGGGCAGAAAAATGTTCACATTGCAAAACAATATAAAATGTAGAACACGTACTGTAATAAATAAAAGGAAGCGAGAGAGAACATGGAGGGGAAACTGGGGACTACTGGAGAAGAGACAAAGGATGCACAGAAAGGATACAAGGTTATATTTATATTATATTATATTATATGACAAGATAGAGTAAAGTCTGGATAGAGCAGTTGGGTGAGGTGTTTTTTGTTTGTTTGTTTGTTTGTTTGTTTTGTTTTGTTTTGTTTTGAAAACAAACTATATTCTATCTTATATTTGCAGAGTTAATAACAATGTAAATCCAATGTGTAAACCCCTGTCTACATACTCCGGTACAGTAGGTGGCGGTATGCACCTTCAAAGAAGAAGTAGAAGTAGAAGCCGACCGTACGCTGCAGTGCTGAACTCAACCACAAGGAGGCGACACACAACCAGCTCTGAAGCGGAAGTAGTTTCCTGTCAGCTGGCACAATTTTGTTTTGGTCCTCCTCCTCCTCTTCCTCATCCTCGCTAGAGTTTGCTGGCTGCTCTTCATCCATTTGTGTTTGTGCGATCGGGTTGTTGTGGGACAACTAAAGGAAATGAAGAAGTTTTTCGATGACATTAAGAAGGACATTAAATTTAAATCTGCGGGACCTGGGAAGAAACTAACAGAGGACGCCAGGTAAACAACACACCTTCATACAACGCTTGCCACGGACCTAGCTGTCTGTCATATGGAGTTAGGAAACGGCTCGTTGCTGGTCATCATTGATTATTGGATCGATATCAGCAAGTCATACAGCTAACTAGAGCAATCCTGATTCTCTGTGTGTTAGATGGGCTAACTGTTAGCAGCTGGATTAGCGTTATATAATACTCATCACAGCGGAAGGTGTCCGTCTACTTTCAGGGTAGCTAACAGCTAATCCCCGAACAAGATTATTTAACCAACAGTCTTAAGTTAGTAACTACAGTGACTTTTACTCGCAGTTAAGCCACCAAGTTTAACTAAATGTTCAAATACAGCTGCTGTGTCACTGCTGTTTGGATTGTGTTGTTAGCATATGGACCTAACCAGCTAACTGAACTGCACACTTCTTACGTAAACTAAAACCCGAGGCTGAACCCACAACATGTCTCCTCCTCACTCCGTCTTTCTGTCCTCTTCACACAGCAGTAGCAAGCCCGACAAAGTGCAGAGTAGCTCCAGTGCCAAGAATAACCGCCATGCTCCCAGTGAAGGAGCCCAGAGAGCTGGAGCTGCAGCCCTGGCCAGGATTGAACATCATCCGCGGCCGAAGGTCCACACCTCTCAGGACGCCATCAGGAACCAGGGTGAGGCAAACGACCCCCCCATCCATCCAACAGTGGTTCAGTAAAGGGGGGTGTCAGAAATCAAAATGAAGCTCACCCCCTCCTCACATCACTGGTACTTTCTGGGATAATGGGACCTGAATGTTGTTACATGTAGTGAGAGAGGTGTGAGAGGTTTGGGGTTGTGACGCCCTAGTTCAGATCAGGGTTATAGGTTGTGGTCATGAAGGCTGACCTGATTAAACATTATATTTATAGGCCAACTATCAGCCTCACACTGTGTGGTAATGTTGGTGTCACTCCATTACTGTGAAACTATTTGAGCCAACTGTCTGCTACTGTAATGTGTGACATGTCTCCTCTTGAAAACTACTCAATCACCATAAAATAGATATTTTTAAAAAAGCTTACATGTGTTGAAAATTCATAATCTTGACAACTTGAGTTACTGGCTTTGGCTTTAAAAACAAAAACATTGGTACATTTATTCTTGTCTATATGATTAGATAATTTGGTTTGTCACTTAGCTCCATGCACTAACAGTGTAATGGTTTTCCCTTGTACCCACGGTATTTATTAAGCAGCGGGCTTTTGACTGTGTCTATATCCTGAGGATGCATGTCAGTAGAGAGTAATTTCAGTCATCCCAGAAGACACTTAAAGTAACTGTTAAAGAGCTGTGTTTGATTGGCTATCTAACTGCTGAGGCCAGCTCAGACGAACAACAGAACAGATGTTTTTGTTGTTTAGACTGCACTATAAGAGTTTGATTTAAAGAATCTCAGTTTAGTTTTCTATTGTTTATGATCTGTTGTCACTGACACGGTCACTGGTTACTAGAAAAGACACATAATTGCACAACTTTCTGTGTTTGCTTGTAGTTAAAAGAGAACTGGAGGCAGAGGCGGCTGCACTGGCTGGAAAAGAAAATGCAGCTACAGCAGAGGTATGTATTATAGTGAGGTTAAACCAAGTGACACCATTAAGATTCTGTTTGTCTCTCAGTGATCAGCATTTAGTCTGATGATATTGATGGATGACAATTCTTTCCAGGGATCCAAAGTGCCAGTAAAAGATCCCACCTGCCTCTCGGTGTCAGGTGTGTATTTCACCTGTCCGCTAACTGGAGCCACTTTAACTAAGAGTGAGAGGGAGGTACACATTAAAGAGGCCATTTTTATGGTACGTCTGAAGATATGCATCCAATTGTTGTCGTTTTAGCTCAAATTAGAGCGTATTTGCAATTCTGACCTAACAATTTAATCTGTTTGTGAGTGCTGTTGACTAAACATGTCCTCTGTTGTCACTGTCAGCGGTTTGAGGAGGATGACATTGAGGCCTCTGTTATGATGGTCCACACATTTAACAAAGACAGAGAGAAAGTGAAGGCGGCTGTGGACATCATAAGCAAGTAAGACACTGTAATGGTCTAGGATCATGATAATGACAAATGTAAGGTTATCTTCCAACTCTGGCTGGAATTGACTTGTGTTCTACTATCTTTGTTAACTTTATGTAACTTCATATTTTTTCATTGTTTTGTCAATAGGTATGTTGACAATATATGTAAGAATCCCACAGAGGAGAAATACAGGAAGATTAAACTCAGCAACAAGGTGTTCCAGGTGTGTTTGTGCATTTATGACCCGTTTGATGGAATCCCCTTTATTGTAAGCATTAGGAATATCATTTTTTATAGCATTGCTTCTTTTATCTATTTTAGGATAAGGTTCGTTCTGTGGAGGGCACTAGAGAGTTCTTGCAGGCGCTGGGCTTCATTAGCATTATGCTTCCTGTAGAGGGTCAAGGTAAATTAATCCAGATGCCTTTTGACAAACAAGTTCCTTATCAACAGGGTGTTAGGCTCAATAGTTTTCCTTTTATTTATCACAGTCAGTGCCTATTACATTATGCTGATTTGTGCTTGCCTTTCCTGGAGATCAGAGGAGGAAGAGGAGTTCCTGGTGTTACCAGAGCAGAGTTCCGATGCCCTGGAGCTGATGAAGGAGAGGAGAGATCGTCTCCAGAGAGGAGAGCCAGTTAGAGCTCAGCTGGACAGGCAGCCTCAAGTGTTCAGACCCTCTCCCAACGCCCAACGCTTCGAGCTGCCACAGGAATTCTACAACCTGACAGCGGAGGAGCTGAAGAAAGAGCAACAGCAGAGGTACAGACTCCCTGCTAATAGATGGTTATAGAAACAACATTTAAAAGTGGATCCAACAGTAAACAAGTTCAAATTTTATATTTGGCAAAAACAACACAATTAAACATTAAGTTCATTCCAGTACCACAGTGTAAGTTAGATATCAAGACTGTGTATTGCGACACTTTCTTGTGGAGTCCTCCCCAAATGAACACAAAATGTCTTAATACTGTACACATCACAGACAAATTACAGCATTTCTCATGTGAGTAACTGTCTTTGTCAAAGTAAGATAATAAACTCCTGACTCATTGTTCCTGATCAAATCTTGCACAAGCAGCACTAGACAACAACCACATACATGTCTGTGCGCTTGTGCTCAGCAAACTGGTTGGCTATAGCTTGTGCTCTACACAGCTTCCCAGTTAGAATAAAAATCATCAGGGAGGTCGGAGGACATCTTCTTGGCCTTCACACCACACCACTTCATTACATTCTCTGCTATCAGGAGAAGGAAAGGGCAGTTGTAATTGGCCATGATTGTTAACAGCCTCAAACACATGCTCATGGGTGTGCTGTGCATCATCTCACACATCTCTGTGGACTGATGTCCATTGGTGTTTGTCCAGCATTATTTTAAAGAAACCTACACTCAGTGCCATGGATGTCTTGTGTGTGTTTCCCAGGAGTGAGTTGGTGGAGAAGAATGCCATGCTGCGCACTAAGGCCATGAGGGAGAAAGAGGAGCAGAGGGAGAGAAGGAAATACAACTACACCCTGCTCAGGATCAGACTGCCTGATGGAAACCTGCTACAAGGTAAGAGCCTCTTTTTAAAAACCAGTTGAGAACAATAGAAGTCAACAACCCAACAAAACAAGTTACAAGTTTTGTTGAAAGCGCTGATAGAAGGTAATGTGTGATTCCAGGGACCTTTTATGCGTGGGACCGGCTTCCTGTGCTGTTTGGGTTTGTACGGGAGTCCTTGGTGGACGGCTGGCAGCCCTTTGAACTCATCGCTCCTGGAAGTCAGAAACTACAAGAGTCTGATGAAGTCGCTCTTGCTGAGTGTAACTTGGTAAGTTGAAACCAGAGTACTCCCATGAAACTGGCCTTCAGAGAGCAGTGTATTTATATTACTTCTATTACACATATTCATTTTTAATGGTATGGCTGGTGATACGACCAACACCAACACTGAACTATATATATAAAACAGAACAAACAATATGTCAATAATGAAAATAACTGAGTTGGAATGTCATTTTTTTTACAACAGTATTTGCAGTTAATATCAAATGTGTTCACGTAGGTCCCGGCAGCTCTGCTCACATTTTCCTGGGATGCAGCTGTGCAGGCGGATATTGCAGCTGCAGGTGGAAAGAGCCCCGCCCTCCTCAAACCAGAGCTGCTGGAAACCATTCGGACCCTGAGCTGAGTGACGTTCTGTCTCTGAACCCCCCCCCGGCACCACTGGGGTGAAATTGCCCCTTTACAAATGACTAGTGATACGTTTATTTTTGCAAATTCTAACTTAAATCAGTAGCAGTGACAGACTAGGGGCAACTTCACCCTAATGCTTTTGCTCAGTGTACCCTTCTCTCTCTGTGAGGGGATAACGTCACACTACATACTGTGTCAGCAGCACATTTTGTTAAAGGAAGCATTAATAACAGATGTAAGGAGAGAGAGCCAAGTGATGTTTTTTTTGTTGCACCCTGAATGAATGTACATGCTGTGAAGTAAACAGACTCTGTGCTCTTAACAGTCAGGTATACTTCACATGACATGTTGAGAGACCTTGTTTTAACTGTGTCAACACTTTTTTAAAGTAAACAGACCGTTGGATTAACAGTGCTCACCTCTGACTGTACAGTCATGTAGAAAGGAAAACGAGTAGTGAAGCCAAGTGAATCAGATACTGTTGTTGTTGTGTATTGTGTGTCTCAGCGCCTAGCTTCTTTCATTTAAAAAGCTGCTGGGTGTCTGTGTGCCGGCTTTAATTGAGACTTGAAATGCTATTAGTTTTGTTTGGCAGTGCTCAAGTTTGAACAGTGTTTTGTCTGATTTGGTGTGATAGGTCTGGTTTGCCTGTTTGTCCTCTGCTCTGCAATGGCCTTGCGCTCCTTGGTGTCGTACAACAGACTTATAATTAAATAATAATTTATAATAAATAATAATTAAAACTACAAATGTATTTTTACACGTATGAGCACAAGCCTAAACCATGAGTCAATCAAATCAAAATGTTTTCTTCTGGATAGTTTGAATTAAAAATTGAGGTCGTCCGCCCCCCCCAATATTGCTTTGTTACTAATCTACTAATGATAAATTGTTTATTTGTAGAGGCTCACTGCAGAAGCTCCATGTAACCAACTCGCTGTGGCATGCAGGCAGGCATGAATTACATTTTTGTTGTTAACACTGGCAGCATGGACTTGTCTTCATAATGGTGCTTTTAGTTAGTCTTGTATTTTGTTTGTATCAAACACGTTTCCTTGAGATAAAAAGGGGTCAATGTTTCAAACATGTTGGGATATATGAAAATGAAATTTATAGCACCACTGTATCCAATGAGAAAGCTGTGACACAGACTGAAGTTTCAAATGTATCCAAAAAGTGTAAAATATCTTAGATCCACCCATGTTATTGAAGGTTAATACATTTATTTTGGTAATGTTTTCTCTACATGAATCTATACCAGGTAAATCTGTAAAAGCTAATTAGTTTCTCCTGCTTATGGTTGGTTAAGATGACAACAACCTACCTCTCTTTGCTCGTCTCTCTGATACATCCCATACACAAACATGTCATTGACATAGAGCTCAAAGTCCTGGGATTGTTTTGTTTTAACAATAGAAATCACTGTCACCACTTTACACATTAGTACAGTATTACACACCAGAAACGCAACAATACAAGTACTGGATTATTATTTGATGCACACTCCCAGAATTTGTCAGCCATAAGCAGCATTTCTTCACTCCTCTGCTGTCTTGTTCAGACTGTCCACCAGTTGCCCACAGGTATTTAATGGAAGTGTTATTTGTAACTTTATTAAAAGAATTAGTGAGCAGTTGTTGTCCAGATGTTCAGAGCTGTGTTCTGTTGATTTTTAACCTGCCTGTAATAAAGATCGCTTGCACTGCATCTTAGCTTTTGTTTAATAAACAGAATTATGAAGCAAATCAGTGTTTGGCTCCAATCTGTACCTGAAGAAAAGCTACTTTAATACTATCTAGACCTAGAATACTGTATATATTACATTACAATTAGTGTTCTTTCCACTGAAATGTCTGGCAATACCTACAAATGAAACAATTCAGGGTTCAACGCATGTCCAAAACCCCTTTTCGCCTGATCAAAAGATAAATTACTGGATCAGAGTGGTAGTACACACTGCCTTTTAAATGCGGTCACTTCCTTCCAACGTTTTGTTTAGTAACAGTGAATCAGATGATGTCATTCACCTTGTTGGCCAGTGATTAACAGACTGCTCTACATTCTGTGACAATGAACACAACTGACTGCATTACCCTCTGAGTTTAATTTGAAAATGAAGGGGAAGACCGTTTTACAGTCAGATTACACCAAATTTGACTATTTTAAAGGCTTAATGCCTCAGCACTTGAATAGTTTGGCTAAGGATGAGGGAATAATTGCAGTTTTATTTTTTCCCAGAATTATGCAAAGTGAAAAAAGTGTTTAGTTGTTACACGTTGAACTATCTAAGTTTAATCAATTGCTAGTGAGTCTTTTATTCACTGCAAAACAGAACATAAATGTTAAATTGGGATGCTACAGGCGAGCACACAATTTAATATAAGAAAAAACGTTTCAAATGTTTTAATAATGAATGCATGTTTCTTGAGTTTACATTGAGAAGTTATTTAAAGAAAAAACTAACATTTTCCCTTTCATTAGTTCTTTCCAGGAAACTTCCTAGAAAGTGGCAAAACTGCAGTGCCCAGATGTGCATATATTCAAGTTGTAACTGACAGCAAAGATGGCTCTTCTCAGTATTTACTACGAGGGTTGAGTACCTCTTGTTGCTCAAGTCTTGTCAAAATATGAAAAAAAAAGACTTATGTTCACTGTTCACTGTTAACGGTCACTGTTAAGCAGCCTCAGGCATTACAGCATCTCCTACATTCTTTAACATCAACATAAGTCTCAACCAAACCAGTTCAGCTGCTCATAAGAAATAAGAGCGAGTCAGAATGGTGAAGCGTTAGCATCACGCTATCATAAAGGTACTCAGATGAAATGGCGAGGAATGAATGGAATATAAAAGTGCAGTACTTTTATTCATGTTTAATGAATTTATCCTGTTCAAGTATTCTTGAAAAAAATACAGAAAATACATATTTATAAAACAACGTGACAATGGACCTAACTGTACAAGTACAGGTCTAGCAACTACTCCACTGAGTTGTCAGAATTTGAAATTGCAGAATAAACGCACCCATTGAAATCAAAGGGAAATGTACGGATGGACTTTGAGCCTCTTATTTCCCCAACTATTGTTTCTGGTAAATTATATACAGTTAGATTAGAGGAAATCCAAGAATGTTGTAAAATTCAACATTTCAAAAAGAGTAAATAATGTTGTTCTTGATGTCTTGGATGCTTCTTCTCATGAAAATGGGGCATTTCCATTCTGCTCTTCCTCCTTCTGTTCAACCCAATCTGCTGTAGCTAAAGCAGTGCTAGAGAGACTTTCACCTTTCACTTTAAAGAGGCTCATGTCAAACATGCCTGACTGAAACTTTAATGCAAAAAAATCAGACACATTGTTAACAAACACTGGACACACCGGCCCTCAATAATCAATTCAGACATTCTGATTTTATGCACAACTACATTTTACAGGCAAGATGACTCCTGACTCCTTTAAAAAAATATTGGGTGAGAGGAAACTCTTAATACAGAGCAGACGTCACCTGATGTGAGTTGCTTGTACCAGAGTGAGGTGCTTCATCTTCTGTCTCAGACACAGTAGCGTTCAGAACCAGGAGGGAGGGATTTTCGTGGGAAACAGGGTAGCTTGTTTAGAGGAGACCTGTCCTCAGGCAGTGGCGAGTGTAGGAGCAGCACTGGCCACAGGAAGAGCCGCTGTGTCAGAAGGGGTAATTTCCATCAGACAGTCTCCCTTGCTGGACGAGTCCACTCTGGTTGGGCCTACAGAGTAATATTTAATGAGGTTTCATTTAGATTCTGAAAAAACAAAACAAAAAACAACTTCCATCCATCTATTTCTATGAAGTTTTCACAGGTTTGTAAATGAATGAGGCCGATGCCTAAAACACACACAGAAATGTGTGCCTTAACTCTGCAGAGGTATCCATACATTTATAAAGAGCTGGAGGGCAACTAGCTTAACCACAGATAATCTGCACAGTATATATTCACAGATGAATACCCTATACATCAATTTTCCATTTTTCTTTGTGTATTAAACAAAATCATACCTATATGATGTACTTGTAAAGGCAATTTCAACTTTGGACAGAGCCAGGCTAACCATTTCCCCCTGCTCCCAGTGAAGATATACCAGTAAGTTATTTATTCCGTGTTTTGAACAATGAGACTTGTGTTGTGTTATGTTATACGGAGTTGAAAATTACCCAAATGTTCAATCTCCTTGCTGGTTGTGACACTTTCAGAATCATTACCACTTTTCATTATCATTTAACTAGCAGCTGTTTATATATATAAAAATATAAACATCCAACGACTAGTCAACTATTGGCTTTATCTAATGACTGCTAGTCAATTAGGAAAATCTTTAGTCGGGAGCAGCCCTAATCTTTGCAGAAGCATACAAAGTTGACTCCCAGAAAGAAAGCTGATTTCCTAAAATGTTTAGCTCTGGTGATGGAATAGGATTCATTTGAATAATTAGTCTAAGTCAGTCATGTGTACTTGGGCATACGTCCAAAATATCATGATGATGAAAATTTTAAATGTCTTGAGTTGGCAATGATAGCTTTTTATTCCTCCTGTGCAACTCACCACTCTGTGTGGAGACAATGACGCAGTCTTCCTCGTCATCATCCTCAGTGTCAGCTTGAAAACCGTCTGCCTCCATTGCTTCCGTCTGGCAAATACAGGAATTTAAGACCATTTGAGTTACTTATAGGCTTATATCAAAATGCAAAATGCAAAAAGCATATTTTCTTAACATGATAATTTTTAAAAAAGATACCAAAAATGGCGCCTAAACTCATTCAACAAAGAGCTACAATGTTGCAGTAAAATCTGCATGGTAATTTGAAAGTCTGTCTGAGTGGGTCTCTACCTGCTCGGGGTCAGTACATCTCTTCATGAACTTGGTGATTGACATACTGCCTGCACTCTTCCTTTTGTTGGAGGATGAAGACGTGGTGGAGGAGGTCTGGGGTGTAGTGGGAGAGTTTCCCTGAGAGCCCGTGGCTGCCTGGGGTTCTTCACGAGACTCTTCTCGAGCTCCTGTGGTGAGGTAGGTCCACTGGCAGGGCACAGGAAGAGCCTCCTGGCCAAAACGGGACAGGACCTCTGTGTGCACATACCAGCAGCAGCGTCTGTAGGTTGTGCGCTTCTCATAAACAGCATTGTTCTTCATGAGGCGCTTCACCTGTATTCTGATTACAAAGAAAAAGTCACTTTATTAGACATAAAACTAAAGGATTTATTTCAAAATAAGATGTATAGTGGCTTGTACTACATTCACTTTATGTCCACTTTTTATTGTATTTGTTCTTAATGTATAAAACATATCACATTGTATATGGAGAGAAAGACCTTTGTAGGTGGTGAATTTCTTAGACAGTTAAACATTTAAATCATTTTATCATATTAACTTTTTAGCTCACATGTGTACACAGAAATTGTTATCACCAAATATTGTTGTTTCACCTGGTGGGAATGTTTTCTGCTGGGCTTTGAGGGCTGGACAGTTCAGGAGGTGATGATGGTGATAATGATGAGTTCTGCTGACGACAAAACTCCTGAAACTCAGTGATGATCACTTTGCTGCTGTTGATATTGCCGTGCAGCAAAGGCAACAGCTGACCGAGTACTGTAGAAGACAAGAACATTAGAGATGTTTTAGAAGATATTATTGGCTCATAAATAAACATTTTAAAAGTAATTTGTTGCAAACTGTAAGTAACTTACAAATTATGTAATGGTGTTAAACTAAAAGTAAAGTAAACACAGATCATTATACTCCAACACCACCATCCCATTGCCAAAATAGTTCAGCATACAAGTCTTTGAAATTTATAGGACCAAAATACACTGGATTTGTGAAATTGCTAATCTGTGAGGAGGAGAATATAGCACACACTGACTCACATTTACCATCAACACTGATTGCACATCCACATAAACAAGGCAAATGTTCCCACTGAAGAGGAATGTCGGCTCAGTTTGTCCCTAATGAATCACCACAAAAGCTATTGTCCAGCTTTAATCAATGTATCCAAGTCAATCATGTCACACACACACACACACACACACACACACACACACACACACACACTTACATTGTGCTTCTCTCTGACGCCTCTGTGACAGCTCCTCTGGGCTTGGGCTGTTGTCTACCTTGGGTAAAGGCACGACCAGACACACAGCATAAGGCTGGAAGAACTGCGAACCAGGTCCTTCTCCCTCCCAGACGCAGCCTTTCACCACTGGCTCCAGCACCTTCATCTTCTTCTTGGTGGACATCAACTCATCCCACTCCCTTGCTTTCAGTTTCTGACGCAGTTTCTGCTTCTCCAGGTCGCCACCCTCCTGGGAAATTGCATGTGTGTTATTGGTACAAACAGGTATTTTTAAATATTTTGAAACAAGAAAATCTGTCAACCGTCTATCAGAGTAATGCAACAAATAAAATTCATTAATCAGCCACTGCCGTACCTCTTCTTCCAGAGCCCCCTCATCATCTGAAAGGTAGCCATGAGGAACAAAGAAGCCATCATCATCATCATCATCACCACCGCCTTCCTCCTCGTCTTCCTGAAAATTATCAACAGTTCAAAGTTAAAAAAAAATAAAGTAAAATTAATATAATCTCATACTTCCACAATATGAATATATGATAAAAGCGTGTGTTTTGTTGCTGGCTCAAGTTCAAAAAACAAATTGAAGCCCATTTCCTTCCATAATGTTAATACATTCAGAAAAAAACAAAACACTCCAATAAAACTTAATGATATGCTTTGATTATTTAGATCAACAAATCTACATCTGTACTTTCAGTAATACAGATTATGACAAAGTCAGCTAAAAAGCCATGCATGGGTAACACAACATAAAACTTGTCAATCATTTCATACTTCTTTAAAAGGCACCTTTTAAATCTCAAAGCAATTCTGAATAACTTTATTCAAAACCTTTTTTAAAAAAAAGGACCATGCCAACATTTTTGCATGTTTGCAAGTATGTTTTAAAATGATTGCTTAATTTTTAGCTATATTTAACTAGTTTGAGTTTGAAATTTAAATACAGCAGCCCAGGGTTTCTGCCAGTGTGTGGCATCCCGACGACCTGCTGGGCGTAAACATCATGATTTTTTAATTAAAGAATGTAATTTTAAGATATTTTTTAAACTACAGTGACAGTGGAGCAGCTTGGTTGGAAACCAATTTGCCCAATACTTTCAACTTTCACAAACAAATGTTACCTAGCAACCTCATCTAGTGAGCCAGACGGTAACACAGATGCTTTGACATTTAGGGATAATATCAAGGTGGAAAGGTAAAAGCCAAAAAGCCTTGGACAGTTTTTTTCTGACGGCCAAATACTGAAGGTGATGGCAGTGAGCAAGAGACAGCTTACATTCTTATTCTTATGGAGTAAACAATGTTAGCCCAGTACAACCATTGTACCACAGCCAAACTGCCAGTGCTGAATGGCCGCTGTACTCTTAAAAAATAAAATAAAAATGCAGATTTCCCCATTAAACTACATGTGACGCAGCAAATAAACAAAGTAACGTATCCCAGTCTGTTGTCAAGCTGTATGTACATCAACAGTAGCACAAGATTTCTCCCAATAAATATATTTGTAACCAGAGACAATTCATGAAGTTAACGTTGTCAACATCTTTGGTGTAACGTTACGAGAGAGGTAGTTTCGTTTACTCATTCATAAATTGTGTAAATAAGCTCCGGTTGCAGTATCATAGTTACTGTGTGTTGTGTTTGCTTGCACAGGAAATAAATAAAAAACCGCTGTTTATTTAACAATTCTGCCGCATCTTCTTGTTCCCTTCTCAGCAGACTGCAAAAAGCTAACACTGACTAGCCTAAAACCGGAGGTCAGGCCACAGTACAAACGAAATAACACTCATTGCTTTTTCTGTTTTCAGTTTTTCCCACAACAGCAAAAACAAAAAGACAAAACAACAAATCACAGAAGAAAACGTGATTACTGCGAGCAGCTAACTAAGCCCAGCTTTCTTAAAGGGAAGCTGTGGGTGTGCTAACAAGAGGTGTAGAAAGTATTCGAGTCATTTAATATTGAGTGTCTGCGGATACCGAGTCCCGATCAGATTTTTTAAATACACTTTAATAAAGTTGCATAGCACACACTTTAAGTACATTAAAGTGAATGATAATCAATTCAATGAAAATGCTTGACAATTGAATAGTTCTACAATGCGTCAAGAAAAAAAATGCCTGCATCGAAGAGGTTCCTTAACGTTCGTTTTTTATACAATAAAGTATAAAATAACAAACACTCTCTGTAATAATACTAGATATTGATGTATACACTACATAAACAGAGGAAATTTTAGAACATCGTCATACTCACCCCTTCACTGTGTGACAGGGACTCTCCTGGTTCCTCTTCCTCCCATTCTTCATCGCTGTCCACCTCATAGTCAAACAAATCCTGTGGTCACAGAACACAGCTGTTATTCCTCACAACAATGCAAATACAATTCTTGGATAAAGTGTAAATATTGAATCAAAGCTATAATCTTTTGAGTTGACAGTCGATACAGACGTCTGTTACATTTAAACAAACATCAATATAATACCGTTAAAGAAAAGTAGGTAATGCTGAGTATCATTGAGATCTCTTAATTATGGGATGAGTATATTGAACAGAATGATACTTTTGCAAAAAGACTTACCTTATCTTGTTTAAGAGGGCAGCGAGGTGAGATGTGTGAGCTCTTTTTACTCCAGGTGCCCCAGTACGCTGGACGGTAGTTTTCATGGAACTGGAGCAGTTTCATAGGTCCATAACGTTTACGATCAGGCACGCCATCTGGTTTAGGCCCTTCCACTGCTATACACTCACTGAGAAAATCATACGCATGGGGGAAGAAAGAATGGTTAACCATAAAGTTACAGGAAAATGTATTCAAAAAATGTATATAGGAAGCACAAAAACTGCACCAAGCATCTGAAGTTACACAACACATTATGAACCACGGCACACAGCTGAGAATGTAATAGATGATCCCAGCCACCAAACATGTTTTGAGCCAGGCAAGTTTTTAACAAATTATACAGAAAATGCCAGAGCTGACCAACCTGGAGCCAAATGGAAAGTCTGTTTGGTAAAATATACAGAATCATTAACTAAAAGGAGTTGTTGAGCTTCATAAAAGACGAAATTCATTTCATTAGAGGATTAACAAAGCTTGATAACGGCTCAGAAAACGAGAACTGGTGTAATATCTAATTAACAATGAAGTTTCAGCAACTTAAACCGTTTTAAATGTTATAAAACTGTCGCGTAGCTACATTCGTTAAGAGATTTAGTTTTGGTTTGTGAGGAAAGAGACCTTGTATTGTCCATAGGTCTTTTGACAGAGAGTTATGTTAAGTGAAGCCTTTTTTGATCTACCATATAGACAGGCAGAAGACAGCGTGTACAGAATTAGCTTGGATCACAGCTGCTGAAATCAGCCCAGCACTGTTTGTATATATTTCAGTATCTGTGCACAACAGCAGTGACCCTACAGCACAGAATGAGTGTTACGAGTATGAGACAGGTTTACCATGATGGTGCATCTGTCAATGCATTGTTATTGCCATGTGCTCCTTTTATATCTCTCTCCACTCATAATTAAGAACTGAATTGCGGTTACAGTTTCACACAACCTTACACGTAGCAAGATGCTAATTAGTGTGTACACAACTCTGGCATCAGCTAGATATTAGCCAATACTTCGAGTTTAGGTATCAAGTTTTGGATCGATGTATGGATACATTTCTGTTAACTGATCACTTCAATGGAAGTTTCAGAATATACTGGTATTTTCTTAGTCACTATAATATCACCACCATATATCAGTTTTTATGATAATCACTATTGCCAGTCTCACCTTAGGGAGTCAGTCTGTCTGGGTTTGGTGGGTCCCCACCGGCGGGGTTTTTGTCCAATCCAGTCTTTCAGTCCATCTCGTTTATCAGCTGGGTTCAACAAATACTGGTCCAGTTCCTCCAAAACAGAGTCCTCACACTGAACCCGGCACAGTGGTGCCAGAAACACGTTTTCTTTTATCTCAAATGGAGCAAACTTCCCACACGCAGCTGCAAGTGTCTGAAAAGGGATACAACAAGTTGCAGTCATATTGTTATTACCAAGTATTTCAGTTGACTATCTTTGTAAAAAAAAAAAGAGGATACAGAGGATTAGAGCATGTGTTGCAACATTATACCCTGTAAGCGAATGTTGATTAGGCACTAAGATAACATAATAATCACTAGATTTTAGGCATCAACAAAGTGTACCAGTGAGCAATGTAGTTATGAACAAAACAGTTTATAGAGGGATAAACTTACCTAAATAAAGTTTTTCTGTAAAAGTGTGATATTTACTAACCTTTGGAGCCTGTTGGATCTTGGCTTTCTGTAGAAATCGTGTAATTTCTGCTTTCTCAGCTTTGAGGCGCTATGAACAGATACACATTGGTCAACAGACTATTCAGTAAAATGGACCATATCAAATCTGGAAAAAATAATGTTGTAGTATCTACCTAACTCAGACCAGCACTTCTACATTAACTTACATCCTTCTCTTCTTTCAACCGTTTCTCTTCTTCCTTCATTCGCTTCTCCTCTTCTTTCTTCCGTTTTTCTTCAAGCTTTGCCCTGAAGAAAGATTATAGCAAATCATGTAGCAAACCAAAATCAACCATAACCAACACTGACTCACAAAACAGAAAATATGTTATATAGAGTTTTCATTACTCACTCTAGCTTTGATTTCCGTTGCTCCTCTTTGGCTTTTAACCTCTCTGCCTTTTCCTTCTCCTCCTTTTCTTTTTTCTCTCGTTTCTCTCGCTCATCTTTTTCTTTTTTCTCTCGTTTTTCTCTTTCTCGCTCCTCCTTTAGCTTGCGAGCCTCTTCTTTCTTTTTTTCCTTTGCAGCTTTAGCTTCTTCCTTCTGGCGCTCTTTCTCCTGTTGCTGTCGAAGCCTGTCCTCTTGTTCTTGTAAACTCTACAAGTGCAAAAGTTCAATCAGATGAGAAAAAAAAACAGTGAATTAACAAATAAGGCTGTGACACAATGGTTTAAACCAACATCTATGAAATTTAGAACACAATTCAAATTCCGTTTGTAGTGTATCCATTAAAAATCCCACCTTTAATGAGCGTCTTTTGATATTTTTCTGTTCTGCTGGTATCTTGGGGGTGGTCTTTGGCTCCTGTGATGATAGGGAAAAACAAAACAAAAATGATAATCATTGTCTGAATGTGTTTGACACAATGTCATCCAGTCTAATTTGCGTGATTAATATCTGGAAAAATGATTGCAATACGATGATATTGTCCTTAGAAGGAGACGTTTTTATTTACAGAGAGAGCGGGGCCTGTTCTACGGAGACCTCCATGTTTCTACAGTAGCCCAGAATGGACAAACCAAACAAACAGGGCCTTTCAAGTTTTTTTTTTTTAGTGTCACGGCCACCGTAGTTTTTTTCCTATATGCTTGAAACTGGAGAGTGAGGCGAGTTGATTGCAATCTGCAGCTTCACTACTATATGCCACTGAATCATACACACTGGTCCTTTAATACTGAGGATATCTGTAAATGTTTTAAGATCTATTGTATATATTAACAAACAAGAACATTTGTGAAACCCAAAGCACTAATATCTAATGGCTATTTATTCATCTTAACTGAGTAATACTCATAGTTACTATGAGTAAATAGCCATTAGATATTAAAGCTTTTTAAAATCACTACCCTCTTGAGAGCCTCAGATTTCTTCAACAAATCTTAATAAGTAACCTAGTAAGTACTAACCAAAACTAAATGTCCCCCACCATAGGGACACCTTTTTTTCACACCTAAAGCAGCACTTCCTGCAGTTTGTTTTGTGTTACTCAAAACACTGTAAGTGCTTTCTACTACACATCACTAAGTGGGATTAAATAAATAGCAAACTGTGAGATACTACATACTGTAGGTGTTGTAGAGAGTGTAGGGTCATCAGTCTTCTCAGGTGAGCTTTCAGATGAGGAGCTCACTGATGAAGTTGACAGCATGGACCTGTTTCCTAAACTGGAAACGTTTCCTGACTCATTCTGCTCCTCTGGCTCACTTTCAGAATCCTGTGTTGTGTCAAGCAGCGAGATAGAAGCAGTCTGATTCCCATCTTTTTCCTCCTCTTCCTCTTCCTCCTCCTCCTCTTCTACGTCATCTTTGTTGACTACCGTGCAGTCTAAAGTGTGTGTTTTAGGAGTGTGATCAGCACTTTTGGATTTCCCAGAAGAGGCAGTTGTGTCTTTTCCCTTATGCTTGTCCTTTGTTGGGAGGCAGGGAGAGGCAGGAGCAGGTGAATCAAGGCGCTTTACAGGTGAACTGTTGTCCGCAGTCAGATCTATTACCATGTTCTCATTTGAGGGTGAAGGGCGCCTGCGGCTCAGGAAGCCATCAAGGGGCCCAAGACCGTTAACCAAGGGTGGCCCATTGTGCACAGGGAGTGCAGAGGACTCATTCTCATTCTCCCTGTCTGAGACTCCTGGTTCAGGGCAGGCATGTCCACAGGGGCGTTTAGGTGGCTGGTTGTCTTTAGGTTCAGGGTTCAGGCGCTTGAATGGGAGACGAGCTGCAGGCAGAATTTAAGTTAAAAAAGCAAAAATTGAGTCATTGAGCAGTTGTGCTGTATCTCTCCGCATAATGAACAACAGATGAAGGGGCTATCGCACAGTTGTTCATCAAAATACAAAAGTTTATGTGTTAATTGACAGATTATATGATATGTCACTGACAACAGAGATTTAAGGGGTTTAACAATCCCAGGTCGAAACAACTAAAGCCATATAGTTGAATTACAACAGTATGAGTTTATGCTACTATGTAAATATAATCAAGACAAAATAAGCAATACATAAAAGGTGCAAAAACCATTAATAGACATTGTAAAAGTTAAGTATGGTAAGACATGCATACTATTAAAATAATACATCCTCCATGCTAAGTTATTATTAATTGTATCTTATCATGTATTATTCTAATAATAATATTTTAATAGTGTCCAATGTAAAATCAAACAAAATCACAAACGTTTTTTTACCTTGGATAAGTTTCTTGTTGGCATTGTTACTTGACTTACAATCCATGCCTGAAAAGAACAAAAACAGACACATCAGAAGATAATACTTCGAGCCCAACATCATTTCAAAATATAGGAAATAATGAACTAGCACTGAAGATCAATCAATGACTTGAACTGGAAGATTTTTGTAGCAGATGAAAACACAATGCTAATTTAAAATGACATCCACTGCACGTAAAGCTTTCAAGATATAACTTATTTGCGTGACTATATTTAAAATAACAACAACCTAGAGGCGGATAACACACTTACACAACAACAACTCCACGCAATAACTTTATTATTAAGACTCCGCTTGGAGGAATAAGATTAGTTTACTACTGTAATGACCACATGCACTGTGGGTCTTCAAATCCTAAATCACCTTGTATTAATGTGAAAAGTTTATCCAGTAGCAAAAACGCCCCCGAGTGTATAATTTGTAAAGGAGAACCATTAAATGTCACAACGTCGGTGTGCTAACACTACAACGTTACAATGAATGTGTTGGTTGTGTTTGGTTTGCTCTCCCGCCAACCGGTGTATCAGTGGGTACTGAAGGCCCGGTCTAGTCCGCAGGGCAGGCACCTTACACGGCTGTCAGGCAAAGGATGCATGCCCGACCACAATACTGAAAACCTCGCTACTACTGAGAACTGTTGCACACAACGCCGAGTTACTACAGTCACAATACGCGTGTGTGTGTGTGTGTGTGTGTGTGTGTGTGTGAGAAAGAGCAAAGACAGTGGAGCTGCTCTGGAGATTCACCTATGAAAACAGCTTTCATGTGAGGCGCTAACGTTAACAAACTCACTGATGCTACAACGACTAGCTTGTCTGCTAACCTAACAAAACTAGCATCCTTTGCTAAGCACCTCGGGTGAAGCTAAGACCTAGCATAGCGACGGCAACAGAGGAAGCAGTGTAGCCGAGTTGACAACCGAGGCTAACAAGCTACAGTTTTATTTTTAATAGTCTGGTGAACTGAAAATACTGGTAGTTATCTTACTTTAACACAACGTTATTGTTTCTCATCTGACATTAAACGTAACAGAATTAGGAGTTAGGTAACAGGATAACATTAGCAATGCCGGGCAGTTAGCCGGAGACAGCTAGCTTCAATGAAAAGTTAGCGGCAGATTTTCATATTAAATCAGTTTACGTTCGCCTGTAACAATGACAACAGCTAACGTAAACTGCTGTCAATGGGGGAAACCTGGTTGCTAGGGTTAAATAGCTACTTTAACGTTAAGCTACACATATTTATCTGACGTTTTTCCTCATTTGGTGGACGCACAATTATCAGCGTTAGACAAAACTGACGTTGCACTCCGTCCATATTACAGAAGTAGACATTTTACCAAGTTAATATAACCATATGTACGTTGGTAGACGTGGCATTAGCATTACCTCTTCTGCGGGGAGTCGATGCAGCCAAATGTCCGTCCACAGGAGGATTTTCCGCCGCCAACATCCCAACCACTAACCCGGGGCTCCTCTCGTTTGCGATATCCTCCGGAAAAACAACGGCACAGATTTCGTAAACACCCGAGAATGCCCCCGAAAACGAACCAAAGTGTTGCACTGCTATTGAAACGACATGTATTTCTAATTTATTTCACGTAAAACATAACATATTCTCTTTCCGCATCTCCACAAACTCCCTTGGTTTACCCCGCTGCCTGCCTCGCGCTCCTCAGTCGGAATTGGCGGGAGTATGTCACTTGCGTCAGTGACCGTCGCTGATTGGTCAAAACCACGTTAGTGATCACCGGTGGAAGCGTTTGTTTTTAAACAGTGCGCTGCGCGTTTACTCGGTGCTTAGTGTAGTAATGAAGCGCTCTCTTGGATGTTAGAAGCACTAGAGTTTTAAATGTTGTGTGATACTTCAAATTGTTCCTCAGAAATACGAAATTATGGGAGCTGCTTTAATTCAGTGGACTAAATCTGTTACGCTTTTTTTTTAAATGAACGTACTATCCACCCCGTTCGGGACGCCCTGTGTTATAAACCGGAATATGTCAGCTGTATCTTCTGTCTGATGTTTTGGGCTCTGTGATTGGCCGCGGACATTGACTTTAAGAAGTCAGGGTTGCCATGTTGGTAAAATGAAAGAAAGGAGTTAGGGAAAGACGTCCGATATGCCCGGTGCTCTCTGGATGACAACTAGTCAACAGTAGTTAGGGTTAGTTAGTTAGTTAGTTAGTTAGTTATCATGAGTGAGGCACAGAATATAATATTCCCAATACACTAATTAGTGACATATTCCAATATTGCTTTTACTCATATTTAAATACTAAAACACAGTTTGTCACCCTCTCCACCCACAGTTGTGTTGTTATCAAATGATGATTAACATAAACAAGAGTCACTCAAGAGACTCTGCTACAAAATAATAATATCTTCTTGTAAACTGTTTACAGACTGTGGGGGACTACTAACCCCGCCTGTAATTGAATGGGTGGGATCCAAACGAAAGGGAGTCATGTTGGAGTCATGCGTTTTCCGTTTACCGCTCGCATGAATCCTGGGACTTGTAGTTCTTTAGGCTCCCGAGCATGTTGGATCCAAACAGTTCGGAACTACAAGTGCTACGGTGGTGCGCAGCCGCAGTATGTCCCATAGGGTCGAAAAGGCGCATCCTGAATGATTCCGGACCCCTGCGGTTGTCGACGGAAACGTGAGGACATAAACGTTATCCCGGTAATGTTGATATATCTATTGTACGCTTTACTTTGACTTGTTAGCTACAACCGACGTTTCACTCGTTGTCAACCGCCGACCGGTCAGTCAAATTAAGCGGCAGCCTTATTTAAAGAGTAACTCTGTTTGTGCCGCACAACACGCTTTAGCTGCTATCTACTGTATAATAAAACACATAAAGTAAACACATTATAACTTCATATAGGCGCAGTTAAAGAGAAAACTGCATGTGTTAGTATTAAAATTAGGCAGCGAAACACTTTGTCTAAAGTTGTGTACATGCAGTCGGGAGAGCCACCGGTGTGATCACCGTTAACTGGCTGAAGGTTAACATTAGCATGTAAATTGTGATCAGTGTTAGCGAGGCTCTTTAGTTGTGAAGCAAGTAAAACACAAGTAATAAGTGTTATTGTAGTCAAAAGACATAAGACAATTGGTGAAAGGTTTCTTGTCTGGAATGGTGTTAATGTGAGTGTTTACTGTGTATTTCTATTTCTGTATATTTCTATTATTCAGGAAAGAATTGGGATTTCAAAATGGCAGGTTTGTCACTTACAATAATCTCTTATTTGTCTATCTATTTTCTGTATATCTATATATTCTGTAAAGTCACATTAAATATCTCTCTCTCTGTCTCTCTCTCTTTGTTTCTCCTCTGCCATGCATTCAAGCATATTGTGAAATATTCAATTGTAAAAAAAAAAAAAAGCCAAAAGTAAGATGGTCATATACACTTTACTTCATGTTTCAGATCGAGTGAATAACTTTCCTCCCCTGCCTCAGTTTATGAGAATAAAGCCATGCTTCTACCAGAACATTGAAGAGGAAATCCCTGCACCGCACCAGCAGTTGGTGCGCAGAGTCTACACGCTTTGGATGAGTGTGTGGTTTTTTTTGTCACACACATTTTCTAACTTTCTGTTTGGAAGAGAAGGATTCATTCTTCTCTCTGCTGTTGAGTTAAAGCTCACTACCCTTTTCTCCCTTTGTCTTCCCTCCACCTCCCCACTGTCCTGTTTCCTCTGCAGTGTATTCAGGCACACTGTGCATAAATGTGATCTCATGTATTGCTTGGTGGGCCGGCGGCGGAAATGCCACCAACTTTGGCTTCTCCCTACTCTGGCTCATCCTCTTCAGCCCTTGCAGTTACGCCTGCTGGTTCAGACCACTCTACAAAGCCTTCAGGTTAGTCAGTGCATCACCCAGCAGTGCCCCTGCAGACGTCACAGGTTAACGTATATCATCACTTCACATGTAACAATACTCACACCGAGAAACAGAATCCCAAACATACAGGTTGAAATGTTAATATACCGACAGGATTGAAATCAGTAGAAACCAGTTGAAGTGAAAATAGAAGGGGCCATAGCACAGAAAAAAACTAAGTAGGAAGTAGTCAGTCTATTTAAATTCTTGGAAGACAGATGGAGGTTTTGAAATTAGCCCCGACTTGACTTCGGGACAGATGTTTTATGATCAAACTTCTTAGATTTTGTAGAGATAATCTGTGAACTCTTGCTGCTGATGTGGGTGGGTGGGTGAGGGGAAAGTGTGTACAGCATCAGTCGAATTGGATAAAACAAGGTTTATCTAGCTATGTTATGTAAATGAGGCTGAACGTTTTTGTGATGTACTTGATATGTGACCGGATTGTTCACTGTATGACTCTGAGAAATTGTGCAGCCATCAAGATTTATGGAAATATCCACGAAAACTGGACCAACGAGCAACATTTGTTTTTTCTATCTTCAGATGTAGGAAATTACAAAGTTCCAGTGATGCCTCAACATATTCTGAGAAAAGAGACACAGCTTTACCAGTGATCTTTTTCTTATCAGCTCGGTCTTTTCAGTAAAAGGGTTGTTTAAAAATAACTTTCTGTGAAAGAGCCTGTATGGGCAGGTTGTTTTTTAGTGAGCTAATTAATAGAGAAAGAAAACAGAAAGACAGCACAGTAGAAGTAGGTCAATATGTGGGCTCAGAGGCATGAATTCAAAAGTTTCAGTGACTGTTTTGACAGCTCTGTTTAGCACAATATAATCAGTTAAATCTATATTAAAATCAGTCGGTTATAATGCTGTGCTCAGGCAGGGTTTTGGTTGTGTACGCTTAGTGATATGTGATCTGTAAGGCGCACGTGTTTCCATTAGATAAATTATATATTACTTAGTTCATATCTGCAAATCTTTAAAAGTAAAAAGTCAAATTGTGGGTTTTTTGGAAGCGTCACACAACTTATCTAAAAGTATATTGGAGGCTTCGGCATCATCAGGCCTATTACAAGCACCAGCACTACTGTTGCCTTCAGTAGCTAGGGACTTTATTTGAACAATATTTTTATCATAGTTAATAGTCTGTGTTCATTTATGCAGTGATATTATTATATAATGCTGGAAAGTGTTGGGAAAAATGTGTAATAATAAATATATATCGACTCTACTAGTTTTCCATTGTGCTTTCATACTTTGGACAGAATTATTGTGTGAAGTTGTGGTAAAAGGACAAGAACAAGTAGGAGGAAGAAACATTGCAACTAAAATAGAGGAACTCTTGGCATGTTTGTTTTCTACTGTGTCATCCCTTTGTATTCTCTTCTTTTGTCATGTTCTCATAGGGCCGATAGCTCGTTCAACTTCATGGCCTTCTTCTTCATCTTCTTCCTTCAGTGTGTTTTGGCCCTCATCCAGGCTATAGGCATCCCTGGCTGGGGAACATGGTGAGTTGAACCAAACCAGCTTCGTAGGCTGCTGCACATGTTGCTTGCCAGTTTTTTTACCAGAGAGTGGGTCATGAGGGCTCATGTCAAATGATCAAGACAGCTGGAAAATGTGCTTTCCACAAGACTTGCATTTGCACGTCTGTTCAAATTATGACTCTAAGATTGATTTAACACTAAAATAAAACCATGAAACACATGATGAAGTTTTCAGAATTGAGTAGTCAGACACCATCAGCGGCTTTTTACATTTTTACTTCTATTAGTTGCCGATTAAAGGTTGGTTGTGGGCTGCTGACGCGGTGCTCACTCACTCACTCAGTTTGCTGAACCATCAGCCGCTTGATGTTCAATGTAAATAGGGGTTCTAAGGTTTCAGTAATATCCTTATGACTAAATGACTAGAGGCATGCTTTATAGTTTTCATTTATCAAAAAAGAAGGGCAAACCATTGTTTTTGAAGTGTTGTTTCTAAAACTGAAAATGCTATTATTTCAGCACATGATTGATTCATTTTCAAAAAGAAAGTGTTCACATTTTAAGAATGGCATTTATAAATTTTTTTAGTTGAACTCTTCATATATATCCCTTTCTTGTGTAGAAGTAATTTCAATGTTAACACATGATTTTACAGTCAGAATTGCATTTTCAACACATTTCTTTTTTTAAAGCAAATATTTTTCTTGTTAATTATATATATTTTTAACACAAACAATTTTCCTAAAACGGAGTAATATTTATGTTTAATAACTGAACATCCGCTTGACAATAACACTGTTCACTCATGATATAATGTGTCATGTAAAGTCAGTTTTACACTGGTCGTCATTATGCTGTTTGTCACTGCATCTGTTTCCTCACTGCTTAATGGCTCATTAGTAACTTTTGGATATTTGTATTAAATCCACTTTGCTAATTACATACTGTGTGATCCACTAACCGTACTACTGCATCTCACTCTCACCAACACCTCAAAGCGGCTGGATTGCGACAGTGACGTTTTTCAGCACAAATATGGGCTCCGCTATAGTGATGCTTATCACAACTGTGCTCTTCACTCTGGTGACTGCTTTAATGGCTCTGGTTATCATTAAGGTGAGTGAATACGCACGTTGAAAAGGCACACACACACACACACCCACACTTGCATTGAATTGTTGTCCTTCATGTATATTAACCCACACAGACGCTTGAAAACAGGCACAAATACAATCGGAACTTATTTTTGACCTTTTCTTTTGATGTGGCAGGTGCACAGATTTTACCGTGGCGGCGGCGGTAGTTTGGAGCGCGCTCAGGAAGAGTGGAGCACCGGGTTGTGGAAGAGTGCACCAGTAAGAGAAGCAGGGTTCAACGCTGTTGCTCAGACGGCCCAAGGGCCGAGCCTGCCCCAGTACCCTGCCGCAGTGCCGAGCTATCCCGACAACAGTCACTGGTGATAGCTGAGAGTCGCCTCTAGATGGAGACAGATAACTGGCCATTTCTGTGGTGGGAACGAAAGCACTTCAAAGCACCACAAACATTTCACATTAACATGACAAAATGCAGACGTATTTTTTTGAATGAGAGGACAGGATTTGCTATAAAAAGTCTTATGAGTTTTCTCATCAAAGCTCATTAAAGCCTGACCCTTGTAGTGGAGGGTTATCTTCAAAATATACTATTCCATTTCAACTTTGTTTACATATAGTTTATTAAAATGAATGAGAAGGAAATATAATTTTATGCTCAAAAGAAATTTGCTGAGGAAAATGTACAATCTTGCATATATGCAGTTGGAAACTCCAAAAAGAGAGTAAATTGTTTCAGAATAGCAGTATGTGAGGGACGTGTGCCTTATGGACCTTTTATGATAGCATTGTTTTATGTAGTGCCAGACTCTGCATGCTAGATAAATCATAGTATGCTGTAGAATGGGGGTTTTCTTTCTTTTGCAACAAGAGACTGTCTGCAAACTGCACGATTTTTTTATCTGTGTATTGCGTGTATTCTGGCAGGAGTTCAGTTTATTTTTGATACGTTGTGCTTTATATCTCCATGCTTGCCTGCTTTGGCTAAGATTTCTTGAAATTTGCTTTAATATTGCTTGCAGATTTAGCATGTGAACAATATCTTGCTTGACTTTCGCCTTAACAAGTGCTGTTAAGTGAAGCAACGTGTGGAACCATTTCAAGAAGTTGTCGGTGCGTAATCCCCCTCTGTGATTTCTCACTGAGCACTGATGTGCCAAAACACTTGCCTCTTTCATTATTGTGAAACTGAACAAAAGCCACGCCCAAAGTAGATGTTGTTTTGCACTCAGTATTTCTCAGTTTCTGTAATTCTAAAGCTACACTGTTTGCTTTTAGTGGTCAGCGCCCTGCCGTGAAAGCAGCTTATCAGCTGTTGTCAATGTTCCAGTCACTTTCACTACACCAGATAGACTGAATTTTTGTGTTTAGTGACTGCAGTGTGCTTGCATGAAGAATATCACGGGTGTGGGACTGAACAGTAGTCTCTTTTTTTCAGTGAACTGACCTCATGTAACCAATACAGACACAAACAACTCAACTTGCTGACTGAAAAAAAGATACTGCAAATGGATCAGCAGTAAAATGAAATCTTGCATGTGGTCTGTTTAAATGCAGTCTGATATTTCAATTAAATCCAATGAATGTGGATTTTTATGCCGGTAATCTAACAATTCAACCACTTTGTTTTCGCTCAATGATCCAGTCAAAGCCTATATAAAGTGTAGGCACTGACTGGAAGTGAAAGATGCCTGCCTCATAGTTTGACTATTTATTCTTCAAGTGTCCTTCATGGCCAACTGCCAAAATTTGAGTTTTGATTTTTCTCTGTTATTTGATAAGTGACAAAACAGATCTGTTAAAGTTACCTTTTAAATATTGCAACATTTCAATAAATATTCTTATTCCCATTGTGCCTGTCTGTCCTAGCTGAATGTAAAAGACATTTTAATGGTTGGAATTTGTGGTTATAATCTTAGAAATACCAGGTCAAATCTGGCTATCCAAGTGTTTCGGAATATTGGAGTTTCACAAGGCAACGGTTACATTTTCAATGTTCGATTTACTTAATTTATGATCTTCAACAATCTTTTCATACAGTATTATTGCTCTTTATGTCTTCATATCAATTGAAAGATGTTCTTTGACATTAGTCAACTCTACTATCCTTCAGCCTTTCACCTAAAGTAAAACATAGATTTCGCCACTTGGCGCACATGCGGTCTGTTTGCTCACTTTTGCTGTGTGTCTTTTTATGTATCTGTCCTCAGTTCAGAATCTTGCACCCTGGCAGAGAGATGCTGCTGTCGTATTGATTTATTCAGAAATGTTGGAAGAAACTGAGAGGGATGAAAAAGCCTGTGAGCATCATAGGGAAACGTACAAGACAGCCTGAACTAAAAGTAAGCAAAGAAACCTCATTAAATCTTGGTAGGGAAATGTAGGGCTGATGAACAGGAGAGAGGGCAGCTTAAAAAAAAAAAAGAAGTGATTTCTGGAACTTTAAAACTGAGTCTAGGCCCACTGGCTTTTTTTAGAATAAAGAAAACTGAAAACAGTAGTTGGCAAATGGGTTGTATTAATTCCCCAGTGTACTGTAAATATGTATCTGTTAAGCATGAGCACCTGTTTCAGAACGGCAAAATCTGTGCAACTACATCAGTAATATTTTATCAATTATAGTTTCATTAGACCAATATATAGTCTAACCTTAATTCTGTTCAAGACAACTTTCTTATACAGTACTGTTAAATAATTGAGCAGAGACCCACTTCAGCCCTTTTTATTTCTACAGTAGTGGTTTGAGATGAAACCTAAGGCAGCGCTGAGTGTTGTTAATGACAAACACAGAGCAGATTCACATTCCTGTAATTTTGTTCAGCCTCAGACTTATTCAACAAAAACCAACAGGTGTGAGGTAACTGAGGTGTATGATTTTGTCGATATCGTCCCACCATACAATCCACAGGTGTATCTGTTCGAAACGTCACAATTCTCAGTTGTGTGTAAGAGAGAGACAGTAGTCATTACTGACAGCCAGACACACGTCAAACTCCCAATTAAGTTTTTATTATTACCAACAGGGGCTGCATTTTCCAACGTTTGACACCAAAAACCTAAATTCTTATCTGTGCCTTACCTCTGTTGAGTTGATTCACTGACAGAAAAGTGCATCCACGTTTGTACTGTAACTCCAATCCTGTTAGTTCACTGCAAATGAAGACTTAACATTTACTGGAGGGAAATTATCTCATGTTTTTGTCACTGGCATTTGAATGCTTAAATGCAGAGGTAACCACCCGGAAATAAAAGAGAAGTACAGGCTATTGATCAATCATTACCACAACCAAGACTGAACCGTATGCTCTCTGATTGATTGTCTTAAATAAACACAAACCATAAAATGAAATGCACCTGGAAATTAGAGGTCAAAGTGTTGTCGACCCTATTTACAAGACTTAGATCACAGGTAATATAATTGCTTCATTGCGACAAATAAATAGTTGGAAAAACAACGGTCTTGGCTGTACACAATATATTACACTAAATGTTTTCACAATTTATCATACAAAAAATACATTTATAGAAAAACAAAAAAGTCTTCAGTGAACATCAGCTGCCCAGTCAGAGTATGGAAATGATAGACAGTGTCAGAAATTGGCAAGGAGACACAGGATACCAATGAAAAGAATTTATAATGAAAATCTTTTCTACAGTAGCACACCTATAGGAAGATAATTAGTGCACTTAGTCGTCAGCCTCAGACTGAATTCTACACCTCAGCAGAGTCAAATCTCTGACTCATCATTTATGTATCCCAGGCCGTCCAGACTTGAAATGTTGGCCATAGGTGTGAAGTGGTGCTCCCCGTTCCCTTTGAAGTCAACAGCGGAGTGATTATTATTGGCACTGCAAGGTCTCCCAGACTCGGGCCCCAGGAGTTTTATCTCTGAAGTTCTGTTCGGGATGTGCATGTATTCTGCAGACTGCCTTTTCCCCTCGCTTTCACTGGAGCGCTGCGCAAGCTTAAAGCATTCCCAACGTCCTTGACTCCAGATCCAAAATATGACCCCCATCAGGGAGAGGCAAAGCAGTGACAGCAGACCCACTGCCACCTCCAAACGTGTCACCCTGCTAGTGTCGCTTTGATTCTCAGGGGACAACGGGTCCTCACTGTCCGGCACTGTCACCAACTCCGGTGCAGCCGTATTCAGCCCGTAAATAGAGTCAGAGGAATTTGTCACTTCGTTGCCAGGAGTAGTTCTGTCCCCCACTCCTGGGCCAGAGTAGAGCTGCAATTGATAAACCGCCACCGTCCGGTTGTATGTTCTGCCGTTGATCTGCTCTACAGAGTCGCAGGTGTACAGGCCAACGTCCGATTCGGAGGCACTCAGGATGAGGAGGCCCCCGCTGTAGATGTAGTATTTGTTGTTGGAGTGAAGTGTTTGGTCGGCGAATCGCCACAGGACCTGCGCCAAATTGGAGTGGAGCTGGCAAGGCAACTGGATGTTGTTCTCTGGAACTAGGGTAAAGTCCACAGCTGCTACTGGATCTAAAAACACACACACACACACACACACACACACACACACACACACACACACACACACACACACACACACACACACACACACACACACACACACACACACACACACACACACACACACACACACACACACACACAAAATGATTGTCTCGCTGCATAGTAATGAGTAAGACTGCCGGGATGCTGTTTCATACAAAAAGTCTGCAGTAATGCATGCAAACTCCTCCATGTAAAAGAATGTACCTGGCTGAGGACACTGTGAGACGTTTCCCTCTTTCAAACTCTGTATTGCAGAATTTGAGGAGGATGAGAAGCCGTAGACTGGGGAGCACTGCTCGGTGGTCAAGTCCCAGGCACAGTAAGGATCCCTGGCCAGGATGCAGTCCACACAAGTGTCATAGCGGCTGCAGTTACTCACCGGCATCTGGATAGCACCAAAGTCTGTACCTGCGTACAGTTGGCCCTATGTTCGCACACACAAAACAATTCAACAATCCAAAAGTGTTTAATCTTTATTACCACTGAAGCCTCTGGCAATTAAGTGACAACATATTTAAATTGAGATATAAATTCAGACTGAAGCCTTTTGTTCAGTATTTGCCAAGAAAAACAGCAGTAAACGGCTATAGCCTATGATGATGATGAGCTAACAAACCATTATTGCCAATATATTGAACCTGTTCTGAGTTACCTTGCTGGAGGAGAGGCGCAGGGTGCTAATAGGCACGGGGTTTTCGAACAGTTGAATCTCCTCAATGATGAACATCTCTCCAGCATAGTTGACAGCCTTCTGAACGTAACCATTTTCTACCAAGAAACAAAAAAAGGACTATTTAAAACCCATATAATGAGTGTGTCTTACAAGGTATCGATTATACAAATGGTTCAGTGGCTTTAAAAGTTTAACATTAAAGGCCCTGAAAACACATTTTCTGAAACAGTTTTGGGTTTGTCACATTTATTTCAGGTTTTTGCCATTGCTTTTCTTGCTGGTTTGAGGTGGGCGGGGCTCAGTTGGAAAAGTGTGAAAATATATTTCACACTTTTTTATATTTAAAATATTTCTGTCCACCAGATTTGAGCAACATTTGACTAAAAACGTGATGATAGTTGTACAAACCGCACAGATTCACTGGGTTTTTGAGTGTTAAACTGTTAATAACTTGATGTTTTTTCTGGGGCTTTAAGTTTAATCAACCAGAATATTGTTATTAGAATTTAGTTACCAGTGCCAATGAACATGACGTCATATCTCTGTCTGTCCAGTGCCAACACACTGTCCACTACAATCCGTGTGAGCAGAGGTCCCCTCTTGACCAGCAGCGGCCCTCCAGTCAGAGGGCGAACAGCCTCGTCCATAAGGGGCCGATCCCTGATGAACTGGAGGGTTTTGTCAGGAAGGTCCAGAGAACGATTCATTCCCATTTTGCGTGCCACACTATTGATGCACTGAAAAAAAAAACCTCAATTCAGATTTTTTTTTTTTTTTTTTCAGATTAGCTTTGCATGCTTTAATAACCAGTATCATGTCTGGCTGCAACAAAGTCTTTAGACTCACTGCTCCTGGTCTGGGGACTGGCACCTCTCCAGTGTACATCACCCACTTGACGTGAGACGTCTCCACAGCAACAGGTGTCTTAAACTTGCCCTCGTTGAAAATATCTCGAATGGCAGACACACTGTATGCACATACTGCAGATGCCTGGGACAAGCTCCTGGAAAACAATAAAACATATTTAGTCAAACAAACTGCGAAAGGTTTGTTTTATTTGTATGACTAGAGAATACTGTTTAAATTTTTAATTAAAGCTGCAGTAGGTCAATTTTATAAAAAAAAACGTTTTGTCATTTTCTGAAACTGAGACAGATCTGTGAAAGAAATCTGGTTCCTCTTGCTCATCCTAGTGCTCCTAATGACAATTGAAGGAATTCACTGGGCCTGAACAAAAACAACCAGTCAGAGAAAGATGTAAAGACACTTTGGGCTGGTGGTTTTAAGATTGTTGATTGTTGAGTCTCATTGTCAGGTCGTCAAATATCAATGCTGGGAATCTTCCTTGGCTCTTGTTGTTGGTTGTTTTCGTTCAGGCCTGGTGGATTATTGCAAATGCCTTTAGGAGTACCAGGAGGAGCCAGAGGAACCAGATTTTTTCACTGATTATCTGTCTCATGTTCTACTGTCAGGATATAGTGATAATATAGTGCAAATATGACAAAAAATATTTTTATAAAAGTTATCTACTGCAGCTTTAATCTGTCAAATACAAATATTAACTGCTAAATACCATATATTACAATTTACATAGTCAGACAAATAGAAGATATTCAAATTAAAACTTTTTGTTTTGTTTTTGACCAGCA